GGGGGAAGTTGGAGATCCCTTTCCATTGGTTGTGGGCCTGCCTTATGATCTGTCGCAGTCCTGGCGAGCGCATTGAGCGCGCGGCTCGTCTCGCGCGGCGATCTGCTCGAGAGGTCGAATGCCATTGCTTGTGGCGTCGCGGGCGCGTGCCTCTTGATCGCCCGACTGGCCACATTCCGCCCGCTGTTGGGCATGCTTGAGTTTTGAGATCGTTCGAGGATCTGGGGGTTTACGTCGGCGGCGTCTGGAGAATCGACGGATCGAGAGGCAGCGAAGTTGTCGGCCCTCGACTAAGGAGATGTGTCTGGGCTTCTGTCGGGCTCAGTGCCAGCGTGCAGAACGTGGGCGGAGGTTGTTCTGGCGGAGCCGAGCAATCATCTCCGCGCGCCAAATTGTTAGTTTTGATTCACGCGCTGCAGTATACCAGTGGGGGATGCTTAATGCTGTCGAGCACTGGCCTGTCGCGACAGGTTTCAGGAAGCCACGAGAGACCCGCCATGAGTCTGGCATGCTTGACTTGTGGTTCGTCTCTGGCGTATCCTGACGCAGGCGAGGGGGGGTGGATCTCCGGCGGACCGAATCCCGCCCCGCGGGGGCCCGAGCCAGCGCACTCCTGCTAACGATGACGGATCAGCTCCTGAATGGGGCTGCTATGCTTTCGGTGGGGAGGCGGCCCGTCGTGTTGCCGCTCCTCATAAGTGAAGGAACCCAACGTTTGACGATGATAAGCTTTGCATTGTTGAAAGTGGAAGTCTGTCAGGTAGCGCACGGTTTTCGTTTCGATCTGCCCCGCAGAACAAGCGCGCGAGAAAATCGGGCAGGAGCATTTCCGTGCCAAGTCTTCCCACACCAGTGCCCAGATCCGGCTCGCCAGAGTTTGTGGCATGCCGCTTGCATTTGCAGCTTGCGACAATGGTGACATGTCGCACTTGCTTCGATGTCTTTTCGAAGCTGGGCGTGGCGCGCGCGCGCCTCTGCGTTGCCGGCGAGTCTGCGCGCTTACCCCTTCCGAAGAAGGGCGGGCCCGAGCCGCCCGAGCCGCCCGAGCCGCGAGACCCTGGGACCGATGGAAGCGATCCGCCCCTGCACCCGCTTGCCTCCTCGCGTGATGAGTCCCACGCAGAGGCCGTGATCAACGCGCCCCTGCATTGTTCTTGTTGCGCTTGCTGTGAGCAGCGCGAGACGGCCCCATGAAACCTGCCAGCAGCCCACTTGCCAAGGGCCGGAGGTTTTAAGCCGCCTCGGGAGAGGGTTCCCGCACAAGTCGGGAATTACCTTCCCTTGGTGATTGTGGCGAGGTGCCCAGGCTAGCACCAGGGAGACACGTTCTCGCCATGTCGCCTCAGCTCCTCATCCGCCTCCTCCTCGTCCTCCCGACCACGGTCAGGCTTGCCTTCGCCGCAAGTTCCAGTGCATGTGCCCTTCCCCCTGGCCACGCCCGGAAGGCGTAGTGCGCCGGTCCCGGGTGTTCGGGGCGGCCCTGGCCCGGGTCGGAACACGGTCGCGGCCCGCCGCGCCGTTCCAGAACGGCGAGGCGCTCGCATGCATGCGCCCTCGTGCTTCCGGCGGTCTTTCGATGGGCCGCCGCCAATGTCTCGCGGGCGCCCTACTAGAGGGATGCGTGGACCAGAGGTGTGTGGACATGATGGCGGGGGCCACGATGTCTGCCGGCTTTCATGGCCCCCTGTCGCTTTTCCTTGGACACGCCCCCCCCCCCCCCGATCCGCGCACTGCGTGATCAGCGGAGAGCTGGGCCCAGAAGGCGGTCGAGCTACCGGCGGGGCGCGCCCGAGGCGAAGCGAGCACAGAAACCGTGACTGGCTGGAGGGGGCAGCGGGGAGAGGGGCGGCCAGAGCACATGCAGGCCGCGGAGGGGTTTCGGGACCTCGTCCGCGCATGCGCCCCGGGGCCATGACTTGCGATCCCCCTCCCCTCTTGGACGCCCCCCAATGTCTTTCCTTGTGGAGGACGATGCATGCTGCCAAATAGTTGCCAGATGCCTAGAATATGTGTTGAAACTGTTTTAAACATGTGAAACAAGTTTAAAACAGTTTCAGGACAGTGTTCCGACATGTTAAACACACTTTAAATTCGATGCTAGGACTGATACGGTGTCCATTGTCGTGGCATCCACAACTCTTGCCTTCTCCTCCACTCTTTCTTTCCCTGTTGATATTCTTCGCCCGCGCGTGGAGTTCCTGCGCGGCGTGTCCGTGGCGCTCGGGTCGTCACTGGCGAAGGGAGCGACCTTTCAGGCGTATTCGGTGGGCGGGAATTTTGGACGCCACCCCTCTCGGATGCCGCCGATTTCCAGCAGCCCTGGCCCGACGAGGCCCGCCGAAGTCGGCGGCGCTGACGCCTGGAGGGGTACTCCGACGGGCCGCCCGGGTGTGGCTCAGAGAGGCCAGCTTTCACCGAGCGCGCTCCAGTATTCGAAAATCGCAAACGTCCGAGAACAACACAAACATTTGTTTGCTTCGATGCGAGACGCCGTGAATCCCCCGCGGCGGATCCGGGGCATTTGCGAGTAGGTAGTTTTCGAGTAGTGGAACGCGCTCGTCCAATCTCGGGGCAGGCCGCGATGCTCGGCCGATTCTGCGACGCTGCTTGCTGGTGGCTGCGCGCGGTCTCGGTCGGTCCAGCGGGCACCCCCCTGGTCATGGGCCGCCCCCCTGCCCCCGCGGACGGGTCCGGATGCGGCCGGGTCGGGCGAACGGGGGGGGGGATAGGGAGAGAGGGGGGCGTTGACCGAGAAGGGTCTTTAGTTTGGGCCCCCCCCCCGACTGTCTCTGTGGGGAACAAGCTCGACTCTCCTCCTGCTCCGGCTCCTGCTCCTCCCCCCCCTCCTCCTCCTCCTCCTCCTCCTCCCTCCCCTCCTCCTCCTACCCCCTCTCCTCCCCGCCTCCTCCTCTCCTCCCTCCTCCTTTTCCCTCCCTCCTATCTCTCCTCCTCCTCTCCTCCTCCTCCTCCTCCTCCTCCTCCTCTCCCTCTCTGAGTGGTCGTTCTCGTCGTCGTCGTCGGTCGTCGTCGTCGTCGTTGTCGTCGTTGTCGCGGCGGGGAGTAATGTTCCCTGTGTTGTTGGGCGGACTGGATAATCCTGGGGGCTTCTTTCCCCCAGGGAGCAATCCACTGCGGGCTGGTTGTTGTGGTTGCAGTCGTGGTTGGTAGTCGTGGTTGGAATCGCGAGTGTAGTCGTGATTGTAGTTGCGACTGTAGTCGGAATTGTCGTAGCGGTTGTGATCGCAATCGTAGTCGTAGTTGTCGTCGTCGTCGTCGTCGTCGTCGTCGTCGTCGTCGTCGTCGTCGTCGTCGTCGTCGTCGCGGCGGAGATTGAGTTCCCTCTATTTGAAAGAGCGTGTTCTACCGCTGCTGGCGGAAAACCGGGGGGGGGGTTCGAACCCCTCCCCCCCCCCCCTCCGGAAAACCGGGGGGGGTCACTACCGGTTCGAACCCCTCCCCCCCCCCCCCCCCCCCCCCGAACCCCTCCGAATCCGGAAAACCGGGGGGGGGTCACTACCGGTTCGAACCCCCCCCCCCCCTCGAAAACCGAGTGGGGGTGCGGACAGTGGTGGGGACGGTGTTGGTGGGGACAGTGGTGAGGGGATAGCGGGACAGTGGTGGGGACAGTGGGACAGTGGGACAGTGGTGGGGACGGTAGTGGTGGGGACAGTGGTGGGGACAATGGTGGGAACAGGGGGGGACAGTGGACAGTGGTGGTGACGGTGGTGGTGGGGACAGTGGTGTGGGGACAATGGGAATGAGGTGGAAACAGTGGGACAGTGGAGGGTACAATGGTGGTGGGGACAGTGGTGAAGGCGGTGGCGAGGACGGCGGTGGGACAATGGGACAGAGGTACAGTGGGGACAGTGGTGGGGACAGTGGGGACAGTGGTGGGAACAGTGGGACAGCTCAGTGGGACAGCGGAGGAGTCAGTGGGACAGTGGGGACAGTGGGGATAGTCGGGCAGTGGTTGGGGCCGTGGAGACAGTGGGGAGAGTGGAACCGTGGTGGGAACAGTTCTGGGGACAGCGGGGACAGTGCGACAGTGGTGGGGCCACTGGTGGGGACAGTAGGGGCGGTGGTGGAACCAGTGGGGACAGCGGTGGTGAGGACAGTGGTGCTGGGAACACCAGTGGGGGATGTGATGCGGACGGTGGTGGGGACCGGGAGTCGTTTGCTGGCGGTGAGTAGGGGGGGGGGGGGGGGGGTTCGAACCGGTAGTGACCCCCCCCCCGGTTTTCCGGATCCGGAGGGGGGGGGGGGGGAGGGGTTCGAACCGGTAGTGACCCCCCCCGGTTTTCGAGCGGGAGGGGGGGGGGGGAGGGGTTAGGGGAGGGGGGGTTTTGCCGGGGGAGAGGGGGGGGGGGGTGGGGGGGAGGGGTTCCAGCAGGGGGGGGGGATTTTCGGAGGGGGGGGGGGGGCGACCCCCGGGTTCCGGAGGAAAAGGTTGGCAATTTTCCGCAGTAAAGCGGCGGTGGATCACGCTCTCTCCTCTATTTTTAGGCGGGCTGGATACTCTTGGAGAATCCTTTTATTCCCAGGGGGTAATCCAGTGTGGGCTACCCTACACGGAAGAGGATTGTGAGCCTCTTCTCACGAGGATTGCAATACGAATCAGTGGTTGTGGTTGTAGTCGTGATTATAGTCGTGGTTGGATTCGCGATTATAATCGTGATTGTAGTCGTGATTGTAGTCGTAATCGTAGTCGCGGTTGTAGTCGTAATCGTAGTTGCAGTCGTAGTCGTAGTCGTCGTCGTTGTTGCGCGGCGGGTGCCGCGGAGAGATATTTGTTCCCGCTGTTTGTGTGACCCCAGTCCGTCAATAGGGGCGTCGAAATGATCATTCGTTTCCATTGTTGGGGGGGCTCTGAAGACCCCTCTCGGTTGCGAAATCTGCATGCGTGCAGCTGGTTTCGGCCTCGTCGCCGGGCGCATTTCCTCGGTACATTGGCGCCTCCGGCGCGGGGAGATTATCCCGCGAGCGAGGCGGCCGCGGCATCCTTTTGGCTCAAGGCGTCTTTGCTCAAAACCATGTTGGACAGGGCCCTCCGAGCCTCCTGCCTTCTCTTCATGGATGCTAGACATCCAGCGACGGTCTCGAGAGGACGCTGTTTCCTGCGAGGTGTCCATCAAGAAGTGCGGTCAGACAAAACAGTGGAGCGCAGCACTGCAGTTGCTTCGCGACGGAATTCGAGCAGGTGTGGAAGTTTCTCGAGGCCACTACCTTGCGACTGTCAGCGCGTGCGGAAAAGGCCGGCAGTGGCAACAGGCACTGTCCGTGCTCAGCGAGATGTTGGAGTCGAAGATGGAGCCCAGCGTCATGTCATACTGTCATACCGCAATGCCGGGAGCAGTGCGCGTGAAAAGGGCATATGCGCACGACAGGCGCTTCCAGTAGACTACGAGGCGCTGGCCTTGGACTGCCTGGTGCGGTTCGTGCAGGCGCCTGGTTTTCGGGGATCGAGGTTTTTGGAGGATCGGGGATTGTGTGCCACTTTGATAGGAAGGAGGGTGGAGAGGTCAAGAGGTCAAGAGGTCAGGAGGCACCTTCATCGCTCCAAGAGCCGACCAGATGGCCTCAGACATCGGCTCCGGCGCACAACACTTTTTAGATCCCCGATTGGTTCCCACTACTTTGCTTGCAGTTTCCTCTGCGGCTCCAGAGGGTGCCCAGCACTGACCCGGCGGCCTCCACAGAAGCCCGAGAGCCTCGCAGTAGCCCTCAAGAGCGGGCAAAACGGACGGAAGAGAGCCCCACGTGGCCCTGGCAGGCCTCCAAGACGGCTGGCCCTGGACGGCTCCTCCCCGCACCTTTCAAAGAGCCCCACCACGCAACCCCCTTTCCCGCAGTCCCGAAAACAGCCCTCAGAGGCCCCAAAGCAGCACCCGCATGAGCTCCAGAGTTCTACGAGCACCGCCCAGCAAGAGGCCCCAAACCAGGGCCGCAGGAGAGCCCACGGGAACGCCCCCCGACGGCGCCCTCCTCCGGCTCCAGGGGCTCCAAACGCCCCACGATTGGCTCATGCCTCCCTCCGATCCACTGTGGGACCCCCGAGTGCGTCCACAGACGGGATGTTCGTGTCGCGTCGACGCGGCGGCCCCTTCCCTCCCCCCGCCCGTCGCGTCCCCTCTCCGCGGCTGGCCCGCCCCAGGTCTCCCGCAGGACGGCGCCGACTGTGCGCCCGCACCGATGCCGGGGCCCTTGCCTTGGGCCCAGGACCAGCCTACAGTCGGGGCGCTGAAGAAGGAACCCTTTTCGTTTGGGAGGGGCTCCGTGTTCCTTAGTTGTTTTACAGTGTTCCTTGTGCTTTCCTGAGGCTTTCCATGGAAATCGGAGTTTAACGTATGGGAAAAAGGGGCCCCGTTCCTTATTTAGGGTTCCTTGGGTCAACGCCCCAACTGTACGGCAGGTTCGTGTCGCGTCGACGCGGCGGCGATCCTGGCGCGGACGTTCGCGGCAGAGGGCCGACAGCGGCCCAGAATCGACCAGCATGGAGTGATCGGCGCTGGCGGAGAGCCCCGACGGTTCCAGGCGGAACGATCCGCGCGGTGCCAGAAGTCAGCGCCCAGGTCGTCACGACCTGAGCTTGCCGTATGTGTGTTCACGTTCACACGTGTCCCATGGTTGCCCGCAGCTTCACCCCGAGGATTCTGCCTGCGGGCTGCTCACGTCATGCAGGGTGCTGCTGCACCCAGGGGGCGATGTCGGCCCGAAGCGCCAGATCCTCGTCTATCCGGCTGCCTGCGGCAGGTCCAGCGTCTTGGGTGGCGATTTTTCGGGTGGCGCACGAGAGGCCGTGATTAACGTGTGACACCTCGGGTCCCGCGGCTGGGGAGAGCCGAAGCATGTTAAGCACTTGTTCGTTGCGTGTCGGGGTTTTCGCTTCTCGTCTTCATCGGCTTCCTTTTCAGTTCGCCCTTCACTGGGCTCCTGTGGTGCAGTCTTCGGGGTCCCTCAGGCACATTTGGGCTTTCTTCCTGCCCTCTTGTGCCACCTTTGGGCTCTCTCTGGCCGTCTTGGGGCCCGCTTAGCCGTCTGGGGGCCATCGTGGAACCGTCTTGGGTCGTCGAGGAACTCTCTAATTAAGGCCGCCTTGGCCAGCTCCAGAGGCCCTCTTGGGCCAGCTTGGGGCTCTCTTGGGGCTGTCCTGGACCGTCTAGGGGCCCTCTTGGGCTACCCTGGGGCCGTCTTGGAGGAGTTGTGTGACGTTTGGGCGCCCTGGTGGGCCGTCCCGGGTCCATCTTGAAGGCCGCTCGGGCCGTCGGGAGCTGAAGGGAGACCGAGAAAGTGAAGACGCGCCACGCCTTGAGAAAGTCTATGGTTGTGGAATCTTTTGGCCTGCTGGGGGTCCTCTTGTGGCCCTCTTGGTTCGTCTGGGGGGCCGTTTGGGCAGTTTTGGGCAGTCTTGATGCATACTGGGCCATCTTGGCGACCTTGGCTGCCTGCCGCGGCCGTCCTGGAAGCTCGGGAGCGTGGACCCACTATGTTTTTGTCTTGTCGAAGGATCGGAGCCTCGGGAGTGCGGATCCATTCTTGGCTTCAGGAGGGGTCGTGGAATCGGGAGCGCGGATCCCTGGTTTTGGTGCAGGGGTCGTGGCCTCGAGAGCGCGGGCCCACAGTTTTTGTTTGTCAGGGAGCATAGCCTCGGGAGCGTGGGCCCATCGTTCCCGATCATGGATTTGGGGGGGGCGGCACGCGCCACTCTGCGGGGGGAAGGGGTGGGGTCCTCGGGGCAGATCACAGGAATCCTCCCAGCCAGTACTCTTGGCATCGCTCGGACGTGTGATTTTTTTTATCGGCAAGGGCCATCGAGGAGCATTTTTGCTCACGCTGCGAGAAAAAATCACGCACGAAACCGAAACATGCACACGGAATTTACGTCCAAGCGATGGCGAGTGCTTGGCATTCTGCCACGCCTCAACGTGCCTGGGGGCACGGTGGCGATAACTGCCTGGCAAACTTCGTATCCCAAGTCACCCGCTTGCCCGCTTGACAGTGTGTTCGTATTCCTGTCCGTCGCTGCCATCTCCGTTTCGGCTGCCGGACCCAGCAACAGGATTGCCAGCAGCAGCGGTGATGAGTGCACAGCAGCAGCAAACAGCAACAGGCAACAGCAAGCGGATGGAGAAAGCCGCGGCAAGACGTTGCGAGCAAGACAGGCAATACCGAGCGGCAAAGCGTCGTCGCAAACAGCAGTATGCAGCAGCACGAGCACCACCCTGCAACTGCAGCCGCATCCTTGCGAGACTCCTTATGTACGTGATCAGCTGCTTCTCCGAGCTCCATTCCCAGGCCTCCGCGGGCTTTTCTGGCGTCTCCAGTTCCTCTGGCCCCTCTGAATGCCCCTGTGTCCCCAGATTTCTTCAGGACTGTTTCTATCGATGCGCCATCGCTCTGCTCAGCCGTGTCAGTGCAAAAGGGCACGGGCGACTGTGGCCCGCGGGCGCACTCCTGTGTCAGCTACAGCGCCGGGATCAGCGCGTGCGAGAAGGGCGGGCAGTGGCAGCCGGCCCTGTCGCTGCTCGGCCAGATGAGGCGTGCGAGGCTGACGCCCGATGTCATCTCCCCGGCAGTGCCGGGCAGGGCGTGCGAGGGGCCCTGCGGTCCGCAGGTTGCCGGGGGAGGCGGGGGGAGGGCGGGCGCCTGCCGCGACTCCTGCAGGAGGGCATGCCGTCGGCCGAGAGAGATTGCAGGCGGCACTCACCTGGGCACCGCCAATGTTGCCCTCCCGCACTCCCGAAAAGGTAGAACGCATGGAATCTTCAGCTTTTTCGACCCTAGCGCGCTTCGGGAGGCGACTCGGAGGCCGCCAAGAGTGCCCAAGAAGCCCACGAGAGCCCAACACCGCCCAGCACGCCCCCCAATATACCCCAACGTGACCCTATCTGGCTTCCAAGATGGCCCCCAGACAGCTCGAAGGTGGCTCCAGGCTGCCCCTAGAATCGCCCATCCTGAAAGGCAGTCAGGTTACCAGAACGGCCCACAAGGCCCCAAAGAGCCCCGACATAGCCTTGAAATGCCCCGAAAGAGGGCCCCCCACGAGAGCCCACGAAGACCCCAAGAGAGGCAGCATTCTTGCGCAGTTGGGACGGCCCCAAGAGAGAGACAGAGAGAGAAAGGGAGAGAGAAAGAGAGAGAGAGAGGGGGAGAAGATGCAGGAGGCGGAAGGCAGGAGGGACGCTGAGGGGAGGAGACGGGAGAAGGGAGAAGGCGCGAGGAAGGAACGAGGCGCGCGAGCAGTGCCCTTTTCAAATCGAGTGCCCAACACAGGAGGGTTGCAAAAACAAGGAGTGCGACCGAGTGTGACCTCGAAATAGGAATCCCATTGCAAGGGACGTGCGTCGATTGGTTCGGCTTTATGTTGGTACCCAACCGAATTATGGGTATCATCCTTTCCTGGTATGTTGTGTTAGCTGTTATTGCGTTTCCGTCATGTTCCCTTTGCTCTGATGAACGGTTTGTATAGGCACTCCATTTGCATGTTGGATGTTGAATGAGATCGGCGGGCAGAAACCGCCGCCTGAATCAATTGCAGATTGGGTGATGCACCGACATCGCCGGGCAGGTTTTTATGGTTTTTCAGCTACAACGCCGGGATCAGCGCGTGCGAGAAGGGCTGGCAGTGGCAACGAGCCTTGTCGCTGCTCGTCGAGATGCGGGAGGCCAGATTGGAGCCCGACGTCATCTATACTACAATACCAGGCATGGCGCGTGCGAGAAGGGCAAGCGATGGTCACCCGCAGCGGCGCCCTGGGGGCACCGCCCGTGGTGGGGTGACGCCGTCTCGGCCCGGGACAGCCCCGGGACGGCCCATGAGGGGCCCGACGCGGAGGCCTCGAGAGTCTCCCGGAAATTCCCCGGCGAGCCCGAGAGGGCCCCAGGACGGGCTCGCAGGGCTCGGCGAGCTCCCACGGAGCTCCCAGGGAACCCACGAGGGCCCCGAGGCCGCAAAACGATCGATAATTTCAAGGGTTTTTGACGTTTCTGGTGGTGCTCCCCCCGCCCGCCCCAAGACGCCCACCACAGCACCGCGGGCGTCCGAACTCGGGCCCATGCTGCCTGGGGGGCCTTCAAGAGTCCCCAAGACGGCCCCGGAGGCCCCCAAGACGGCCCCGGAGGCCCCGGAGCCCCCAAGACGGCCCAAGAACCCCCCGGACGGCCCCAAGGGACGCCCAAGCGGGTCCAGTTCGGAGCGTTTCCCCCCCCTCTGGGCCCCTCCACGGCCAGCAAGGCCCCAAGACGCCCCCGAGAGGCCCCCAGAAGGCCCCGGAGGCGTTCCCAGGAGGCTCCCGGCCGCTCTCCAGAGGCTCCCGGAAGGCTTCGAAGAGGCGCTCCCACGAGCTCTCCAGAGGCCGCCAGAGGCTCTCCAGAGGCTCCCACAGGAGCCCCACGAGAACCCCCTCCCGGGCCCCGCCGCTTCCCCGATGCCTCCGCCGGGAACAGCCTGCTACAGCACGCGGCACTCCAGGAACTCTCAGGCATGACCGCCCCGTCCCTCCTCCGCCTCCACCCCAAGAGCGTGGCACTTTCGCGGGTTCCTCGCAGCCAGCGTGCCCTGGGCCTTCCTGCTCCGGAGCATCGCCCCTGATGGGAAAAAACTACACCCCACACCTCTTGGGACACGCATCGCTTGGGAGGGGATGCAAAAACGCCTTGGTTGGACCACCCGCAGACGTCCCAGGCCCCCGTTTCCGTGGACCCCTCCCGCACGGAGCGTGACCCAAGAGGTGTGGGGTACGTTTTTCTCCATGCCAAACACGCGCTCCCCCTCGCCTTCCTCCTCCCCGCCCCTTGCTCGCGCCCCCCCTGTTCCTGCGGCTGCTGTTGCTGTCCCTGCTGCTGCTGGTGCTGCTGCTGCTGCTGCTGCCGTTGCTCTCCCTCCGCCTCGTGCTGCTCCGCCTGCTGGACCCCGCCGCCCCTCCATCCCTGCCCCCCCCTGCCTCTCTATCCCCTGACGACGGCGACGACAGCGGCGACGACGCCGACGACGACGACGACGACGACGACCACGACGACCACGACGACGACGACGACGACGACGACGACGACGACGACGACGACGACGACGAGGACGAGGAGGACGAGGACGAGAAGGCCCCCGGGAGGCCCCCGGAGGTCCGCGTCGCTTCTATTGTTGATTGAGCTGTTGCTGCAGCTGTTGCTGCTGCTACTGCCGATGATGCTGGCTGCTGCTGCTGCTGCTGCTGCTGCTGCTGCTGCTGCTGCTGCTGCTGCTGCTGCTGCTGCTGCTGCTGCTGCTGCTGCTGCTGCTGCTAGCGCTGCTCCAGACGACGTCAGGATCATCAAGCAAACAGCGCACCCTGAAGCAATAAGCAGCAACGAGCGCACGTTCAATCCTCTGGCATTCGTGGACTGTAGTCCACGGGTCAGCCCTAGTCAGCTACAACGCTGGGATCAGCGCGTGCGAAAAGGGCGAGCAGTGGCAGCGGGCTTTGGCGCTGTTTACCGGCATGTGGGAGGCGAGCGTGGAGCTTGACGTCATCTATACGACAGTCGGACCGACGCATAAGATCTAGGTCGGTTCGGGGAGGCTATAGTGTTCTCACGCTTGTTGGACGTTCTTGTGCATCCTGGGGAGGGTACCCTTGGATGTTCTATTCCTTTTGCCGACGTATGGTCTCATACTCTTGAAGGATGCTCCTCTGGCATACGGTGGAGACCCATGCCAAGAAACACCCTGCTTGCCTCCAGGGTGCCGTGGGTTTCGTGGGCTTCGATGGGTTTGCCATGGAAAGCGGAACGTTCCCACACCAGACATCCATGGACATCTTGGAGTCTCAGGGTTGGGCTTCTTGTGCAAGGTTTCTTGTGGACTGGCCCCCACTGTAGATCCGACTGCGCAGTGCACAGGAGGAGGAGGAGGCAGGAGGAGGAGGAGGAGGAGGAGGCAGGAGGAGGAGGCAGCAGGAGGAGGAGGGAGAGGGCAGCGCGGGCGAGCAGCCCAAAACGGTGGAGGGCAGGCGGCTCCTTCGGCCGACTCCCGGGTGCTGGCCGCGCATCGCCCGGCGCCGCTCTCACGGGGCACCGCCGGTCGACCGCGAGGGCTCCCGGGGGCGCCGCCCCGCGCCCAGGGCGGACCCAGAACGCCCTGGCACGAGGCCAGGGCCTCCACCTCCTCCTCCTCCTCCTCCTCCTCCTCCTCTTCCTCCTCCTCCTCCTCCTCCTCCCCCTCCTCCTCCTCCTCCCCCTCCCGAGCCTTCGGCGAGGGCCCGCCCGTTCGCCGTGGCCAGCCCGTTCGCCGTGGCCAGGCCCAGGGCGGCCCAGGGCGGCGCCTCCACCTCTGCAAGAGGCCAGCGAGAGTCGGCAACGAGCGAGGGGGGGAAGCTTCGGGGCTCGAGGTCCGAGGTGTTCGGGCGTTTTCGCCGGTGACCTCGGCGGCCTTCCCGCCCCCCGGGGTGCTCGCCAGCAGCTGCGCCTCGCCGAGGGCGTTCCGGGGAGAAGGAGAAGTCCTTCTCAGAAGGCGGGGGGACTTCAAACTTCTCAGAAGGCCAGGGGACTTCGAGCCTCCTAAGAAGCCCCGCCCATTCTCACTTCCCCCCGAGCTCGCCGCCGAAAGAAGCTGTCGGGCAAATTCGCAGGCGGCACCTTCGCTGTTCCTTGTCAGGCCCGGGTTCACTGCAAGACTTTGCTTTTTCGCATGCCGGCTCGTGCAAGGCTCCTGGTTCGCCTGACGACGTTTTGATTCGCACAACGGTAAGCACAACATGTCACCCAGCAGATTTGCATGGGGAGGGGGAAAAGCAAAACCCATGTTTCTACCAGCATGTTTCGCACAGCGAAAACGAGCCCCAGAGAAGAGATCCCACAACAGAGACGCCACAGGGCTCCAGGACGCTTCGAGCACAGCCCGCACAGGCCCAAAGGTTGGTCCGCAAGAGGGCCCAGAAGCAATGCCAGAGACCGCCTCCGACTCGAGAGGCATCACGCCACACGACTGGCAGACCCCCCCCCCCTTCCTCCACTCCGCTATGGGGTCCGGAAGTATAGTATACAGGTGGTGCTCACACTCGGGAGCTTTGAGGCGGGGGTCAGTGCAGAGGGGGGTCAGCCGGAGCGCCCGATCTTGCAGGATCCTGCAGGGCCGGGGTCGCACCCTGGGCTTGGGTGCAGGATCCTGCAGGAGGATCTTGCAGGAGTTTGCAGGATTCTCCAGGCCTGACTGGCCCGGGTCTGGATTGACCAGGGTCAGAAGATCCCCGACGCATGAGCGACAGGAGAAAAGGAGGTCGACTGCGCCAGCATTCTCGCTTCGGCTTTCCGGGCGAGGCCGCGGGTAATCGCCCTCGCCTCCACGCGGTGTGCCACGCTGGCGGACAGCGTAAGACGCGGCGCAAGGTCGCCACGCCACCGTGCTGAAGACCCGTTTCTCTCCGTCGCTTACACGCACGTGGTCAAGGATTGCCCGCGGCTCGAACCTTAGGCCTCCGCTGGCGGGCGAGTCATGCCATGCAGGTGTTGCTGTACTCAGCGAGGCCAGAGGGCGATGTCAGGTCTTCACAGCACCTTCTTTCTCTTCTACATTGTCTAGGCTTCATCGTATCTAGAGCCATCCGTTCTATATTGTGTTCCTCGCCACCGTCTGTATCCCCTCGTCGGCTACCAGACTCGTCAGCAGGAAAGCCAACTGCAGCGGCCACGAGCACGCAGCAGAAGCCGGCAACGGCAAGTAACAGCAGTAGCCTGCAGTACGCAACAGCAAACAGCACAGGCAATGCCGAGCTGCAGAAAGGAAGCTGCAGGCAACGGCAGCGGGCAGCAGCACCAGCGCCACATTGCACTTGGCAGCAGCACCCTCACGAGAGTCCGAATGTACGCATTCAGCTACTGCTCCTCGCTCCGCTCTCAAGCCTCGGTGGGCTTCTCGTGTGGCTTCTCTGGTTTCTTCGGCTTCTCCTAAATCGTGTATACATGTGGACATATTCGTCAACATTCTGGACAGCAGTGTGCGCGCACCAGGCAGGGCGCTTGCGAGTTCGGGCCCACGTGCACACTCTAGCGCAATGGAGCACACAGGAGGATTGAGGAGGGGGACAGAAGGAATGGTTAGGGGGAGAGAGATCGAACGTTTTCGGGCGCAACGTTCCGCTGCGAGCAGGGCTGGACTTTGTCTGAGGCCTCGACCGCTCTCTCCCCTCCCCGCTGTCTCCTCTGCTTGCTTTGCACTGGTGCTGCGATGAGCTGGGGATCCTGGTGCTCTTCTGAACATCTGAAAATCAGGAAGGGTTAGGGGGAGGATGAGCATTGGCAGCCCTCTCTCGTTCCCCAGCTGCGCCACGTCAGCCGTCCACGGTGGCCCCGGCTGCGCCGCGAGCCTCGCCGCGCAGCGCCGCGCGCCTGCTCACCGCTGCTCACCGCTTTGCCCCTGGCCCGCGCCGCTGGCTCCCGGAGCAGCGCCGGTGCGCGGGGCGGCAGCGCGCAAGGCTGTCCCGAGCAGGTCGTAGGGACTCGGCAACCAGAGGCGACGACAAGGGCGAATAGCGCAGGGGCGGGCATTACGCGTGTTCGCCCGGGTGCCTCGCCGAACGGCATGGACCATCGGCGCCCTTGGATACGTGTATTGTCCTCCCTTGGGCTCTTCGCCCCTCTCGTCGCCCTCGATCGACGTGGCGTGAGCCCCGGCATCGTAAAGGGACCTCCACGCGGGGCAAAGCACTCCCGGCGGCGAGAGTTTTGTCATTCTTCCCCCAGGGGTTTTCGTCGTCGTCGGTCGTCGTCGTCGTCGGCCGTCGTCGTTCGTCGTCGTCGGTTCGCCGTCGCCGTGACCGCGGCTCAGTTCCGCCACCCGCTATTCTTCGCCCGACGTCGCTGGCGACCTCGAGCCGCCGAAGCACTTTTCTTCGCCCCAAGGAAGTTTTGAGCTCTACAGTTTGCACAGCGCGGTTTGGTCGGCCGAGGAGCCAAGGAGCTCGGCAAAGGAATCCGGCGCTACCGCATCGACTCTCCAGCGCCCCACAGGTTCGGGAGCTGGGGCGTCTGCACACCGAGCCGACCAGACGGGCGGGGACACCCGCGTGCGCCGGCGCGGGGCTGCGCCACCGCAGCAGGCTGGGAGTGCCAAACCGGAGCGGTGACAGATCGCGCGGTGAGTTCGAAGTGCGCAGAGGCCTCACCGCACGGTCCGTCACCGCACGTGTTTGGGACCTCGGAGGCCCCAGTCGCCCAAGACATCGTCGGATATATATCGACCCATGTCCCAGAGCTGTGCGCGGCCACTCCGGATCCCCACTGACACCGCACGGCGTGGTCACCACCACGCTTGGGGGCCCCCGAACAAAGGCCGCAGCAGAGCGCGGGCGAATACGGGCCCACGTGCACACACTGAGTCAGCTACAACGCTGGGATTAGCGCGTGCGAGAAAGGCGAGCAGTGGCAACGGGCTTTGTCGCTACTCAGCGAGATGTGGGACGCGATACTTGAGCCCAACGTGATCAGCTGCAGTGCTGGGATCAGCGCGTGCGAGAAGGGCGAGCAGTGGCAGCGAGCTCTGGCGTTGCTCAGCGAGATGTGGGAGGCGAAGCTGGCGCCTAACGTCATCTCTGATACACTGCAGGACCCCCTGCTTGCAAGAGGTTGGCTGTGTACCGAAGCTCCATCTGAGCCCCGAGGGCCCCAGGGAACCCATAGCAGCCCTCAGAAGTCCCCATCGGGCGTCCGCAGGGGCCCCGGAAGCCTCCGTCGCGAAGGCCCAGCAAGTCTCTGGGGCCTCTGGGAACGGCTCCACGTATCCCCAGATGCACCTTGCCCCTTACGACGGCCCAAGATGCCCTAAGAGTGCACCAAGGTGGCGCAAGACGGCCGTGCCTTGAAGTGGTTGACAAGACCCTTCCAGACGGCACCCAGACCTCTCAGGATGGCCCCGCGAGTCACGCAGGAACTCCAAGATGGCTTGGAGAGGCCGCACGTGAGCCTTCCAAGGGTATCCCTTCTACAGGCCCCAGAAGCCTCAAGAGCATTACAAGATGGCCCTCCTCTTGCCCAAAAGCGGGCCCCAAGACATCTCAGATGTCTCCTCTCTTCCGTCCCCTCAGGGCTGTCATGATGCCCGATCGACTCACAAGATCGCTCCGGACAGCCTCGCATCTTCCTCAACAGATACCAGCATGGACGTTCGTTGCCGGAGGTGCTCTCAAGATCGCTCCAGCGGGCACCAAGTGGTCCCCGAGACATCCCAGAAACACTAGCAGAAACATCATAGCAGCAACACAGCACCGGCAAAGCAGCAGCATTTAGCAGGCAGCTCCAGCAATCAATGGTACCGGACTGCACCAGCAAGTCTCAAGCAGCATCAGCAAGCGGCAGCATTGCAACAGCAACAATCAGCACCCCTACGCGGCAGCGGTGGGCATCAGTAGCAGCTTGCAACAACAGCTTGATGCACGACGCAGCTGCGGTCAATCAGCATCCGAGCACAAGCAGCTTGCAGAGGCCCCAAGCCGCAGTAAAAATCTTCACCAGTCGCGTCAAGATACAACAACCAGTAACGAATACCAGCAAGTAGACGCGAACGACACCAAGCAGCAGCGAGCGGCAGTAAGCGGCATCGAACGGACGAGCAAGCAACGAGGCAGACAAGAACGACATCACGCGATCAGGCCCCGAGTCGTGGTCCATCAGGCGAGTGGTTTTGCAGCCTCGCCAGCAGGATTGCAGACAGGCGATCAAGCATACAAGCGACCCATCTCCCCTGAATAAGAGTATGCTTCCGTGGCCGCCGGGATAAATCCGATCACGCTATGTTGATTGCCGTGAACCTAGTCCACGGGTCAGCCCCAGTCTTTACTGTATTGCAGGTAAGCTACAACGCTGGGATCAGCGCGTGTGAGAAGGGCGAGCAGTGGCAGCAGGCTTTGTCACTACTGAGCGAATTGCGGGAGGTGAAGCTGGAGCCCAACGTCATCAGCTACAACGCTGGGATCAGCGCGTGCGAGAAGGGTGAGCAGTGGCAGCGGTCTTTGGTGTTGCTCAGCGAGATGTGGGAGGCGAGGCTGGCGCCCGACATTATCTACCCCACAATACTGGGAGCAGCGCGTGGTGCACTGCTCTGGAGGCAGCGTCTGGGGGAGCCCGCCGGGAGGCTCGACCGTGAGGGCCTGCGCCTCCCAGACGGCCCCAGCGAATCCAAGAGGCATCCACGTTCGGCGAAGATGCCTCCGACACGGCCGAGAGCGGCCTCAAGGTGGCCCAAGATGGCGTCCAGACGGCCTCAGAGGGCCCAAGGCAGCCTAAGACAACCTCCAGACGGCCGCAATACCTTTCAAAAGGCTCCCAGAGCGCTCCAAGCGTACGCCCAGCAGGGCCTGCAGTCCAAGCGGCGCCCAGCTGGTGCAGAAACATGGTGTGTGCTGCAGGCTATCTGCAGGTCGAGCATACCCGACTTTTTCGCCCTTGCAGCGCCCACGACGGCCCAAGGGGCGAACCTTCGGAGAGGATGCCAACGCGGCTCTAGAGAGCCCCGACGGCCCAAGACGACCCCAGAGAGCTCCAAGACGGCCCTAGGGCGGGCCAGGAAGCCTCCCGGGTGCCATCTGGAGCCGGTTCCACGTCCTGGGGCGGCCTGGGGCCTCCCCGGCCTTGTGCTTGGAAGCCAGAAACATATGTATGGAAATGCAGCCTTGCTTTTGTTTCCTCACGTGGTTCCCGCGCCCTGGGGCCCTGGGGCTGACCCTGAAGGCCTCCCGGGTGCCACCTGGAGGCGGTTCTGGGTCTTCTTTGGGCTGCCTCCGGCCCAAAAGGCGTCCAAGACGACCCAAGATGGCCCAGAGATTGGTCGCCGCGTTCCAATGCCAGGGCACATGCGGATTTGCCCCACGGGTACACATTAGTCTCTCGACAACCCCCAGACGGCCACGGACCGCCTCCATACGGCCCAAGGGGCACCCGAAACATCCCCAGAGGGCCCGAGGAGTCTTCCATGAGGCCGATAAGCAGCGCTGAGAGGCTCCTAAACGATCCCCAGGGGCCCCAAGATCTCGCCAAGAAGCACCGAAGACGGCACCAACAGGAGCCCAAGACTGCCTAAGACTGCCACACACGGTCCCAAAACGGCTCCCAGCGCACCATGGGTCTCTCATGCTTGTTCGGCGCTCCCTGCCGGATTTGGCCCCAAATCCCTCGCTTTTTTTGTCGGTCTGGAGCCCTCTCCGCGGCCTCTTGAGGCGATGCCGTGTTTCGCTTTTCTGGTAGCCCAGAATCGCCTCGCCTCGGGGGGGGTCACAGCTTCGAGAGGTTTTTGAAACAGGCCCCAGAGATCTCTTGGCAGGTCTCGGCCCTGCCCTATCATGACGGGGCAGGTTTTCGATGCTATTTCGGTCCACTTTGGGCAATCTCCAGCTCCTTCCGGCGATCATTTCGGGCCATCTTTTGGGCTTGATGGTTTTTTTTGGCGGGTCTCGCCCCTGCCCTATCATGATAGGCCATGTCTTCGACGCCATTTGGGCCCACTTTGGGCCATCTCCGCCAGTGGCAGCAAGCATGGGTACACACTAGTCAGCTACAACGCTGGGATCAGCGCGTGCGAGAAAAGCGAGCAGTGGCAGCGGGCGTTGGCGCTGCTCACCGCGATGCGGGATGTGAAGCTAGAGCCCGACGTCATTTGTACTACTGAGATGATCGTGGGGGTTGGCATGGCTTCGTGAGGATAGCTAAGTGTTTAACGAAGGTATACGACTTTAGCGAGACTTCCATAAGAGAAACGGATCAATACGTAGCCCAACTTGCCAAGTTATTTGGCAAGTTTAGCGGCGATCCACCTGCTACATGATATATACCTTATGGGGTTCTATGTGTGGGCAAATGGGGAGCTTATATTGGAGACGCTACGGGGAGACCCTATGGAGGGACCCTATGATAGACTTTGTAGGGACTCTGCACAAGGGGGCCTCATGCAGATACTTTGTAAGTACCCCATAGGGGCCCTAAAGTGGGGCCCTAGCCCTAGATGAACCCATATGGGGGGAGGGTCCCCATGGGAGACACTATCGGGCTCCCCGTGGGGGACCCCGCGGGGAGACATGTGTTGATTGTCGTGCGAGCTCGCAGCTGCGCATCGGATCACCCGTAGCCAAGATAGGCAACGCTGGCCTCACCTTCGGTTCCAGGATCCGCGGCCCAAGAGTGGAAGCGTGCCATGAAGTTCGACCTCGACGCCCCATCGTGCAGCAAGATGGCCGTGATGGCCTAGGATGGCCACAGGACAAGTTATTTGGCCCTCGTCTTTGGGAGCTGTTCCTGATGTTTTTGGGGCTGTTTCGGCGCTTGCGAACCCTTTTCCAACCACGCACGAACCACACGCGGATCACGCGCGAATTAGGATCGAAACACGCGCGAACCACGCGCGAAGCACGCGCGAAGCACGCGCGAACCACGCGCGAACCATGCGCGAGCCACGCGCGAACCACGCTCCGAACCACGCTCCGAACCACGCTCCAAACCACGCGCGAACCACGCGCGAGCCACGCGCGAACCACGCGCGAACCACGCGCGAACCACGCGCGAACCATGCTCGGACCACGCTCCGAAGCACGCGCGAACCACGACCGAACCACGCGCGAACCACGCCCCGCACCACGCGCGAACCACGCGCGAACCACGCCCACACCGCGCCCGAACCGCGCCCGAACCGCGCCCGAACCGCGCCCGAACCGCGCCCGAACCGCGCCCGAACCGCGCCCGAACCACGCCCGAACCACGCCCGAACCCCGCCCGAACCACGCCCGAACCACACCCCGGACCAGCTCGAACTACTTCGATGAGATATGACAAGTTGTGCATGCGCAAGCAGGCCATCAGGCGTTGATGATGTCCGTTGGCCGTCAGCTTTGTCAGCTCTTCGAGCCTGCCGAACTCTCGAGTGAAAGACGCGGGCAAGCCTTCAGACATCAGTGCATGATGGCGGCACGACTGAACAGGCATCGCGATGCAACGCTTCTGGGATCGTTCTGTTCGAGCCCTTCTTCGGGGAGGAGGTTGCCGCCGCACGACCCCCCATCCCCATGGGCCTGCAAAGATGTGGGGGGGGCGCGGGCCGTTGGGAAGGCCAGATGGCGCCAGATAGCCTCCAAGGCTGCAGGCGACGCATCAAGGCGGCTCAAAGATGCAGCGGGGAAGCTTGGAGAGGCGCCCCATGGGGCAGGCTCCCTGCGATTCCTGAATTGTTTTCCTTGCTGCTTGTGCTCCCTTCTTCATGTTGTCGCGCCCAACTGGCCCCCGAAGCTAGATGGCTCCAAGAGCGCCCGGGCGAGCCCCACGAGGGCCGAACAGGTGCACGACGTAGCCCCGAAGGGCCGTGCGCCCTCGGAACGCCTTGCAAGAGCGCCCCTAGAGGGGATTGTTGAGTGTCCCGACGGGGGGCGGCCTGCACATCCGCAGTTTGTTCATCGACTGTCTCCAAGATAGCCCCGACGCCTCCACACACACACACTCACACACACACACACAAGCACACGCGAGACCCCAGAGAGGCCGCTGAGGGGCGAGGGCCCCGAGATGGATCTGGGGGGGGGGGCCAACGGCCACTCCAGTGGCCCAACGATGGTCCCTTGAGTCCAGGAGGCCTCCTAGATTGGTCCTAGATGGTGTCCGAGCAGATGACTCTACTCCCTTCGCCATCATTGGCGCCACCGCGCCTCGCTAGACAGCTCTCGTGGGCATCGTGTCTGGATGGGCTGGCGGGGATGCGCGCAGCGTCGCAGCTGGCAGATATAGCACGAGGGTGCGCATCTGTCCCGCGGTTCGCTCCACGTGCGGCAACGACAACGCACGTGGTGTGCAATTGCTGGAACCGCAACCAGTCCGCCCCCCGGGAACAACGCAAAACGATTAGGCAAGATGGCACACCACCCAAACGTTCCTGTGTGATTCTCCAGCGACGAGGGGTCACGGTAGTTTCCAGGATTTCAAATGGCCGTGGCAGTTTTTATTATTTCGCGGGGTGTTGACGGGACGCCCAAATGGAGAAACAAGATTCGCGGGGGGGAGGCGGAACGCACAAACGCTTGAAGTGGATATTCTAACTTGTAAATCTGGAGAGAAATGCCACGTCCAACATGTGTTACCGAACGTTTATCAGTAATATATGTTCGCGTTGTAAATTGACATGCGTGGCCAGAAGGTCTGTCTGCTTGAATCATGACAGATGGGACTAATCGCAAACGCCTCATCTACTTAGCGGCCGTCTGTCTCGTGTAACCTTGTTGAGGAACATCTTTTGTTGGAGGGGAATGTGGTAGGTGTATTCTATCCTAGCAATGTGTCGTGTGTGAATTCACGTGGCTGGTGAATCACATGCAACTGGCTTGCCTGTACTTTACATGCCCACATATAGGTACGTGCAGGCCGGGAAAACCATCGCAAATCGCGCGCTCATCTCAGTACATGCTGGTCGCAGGGCATGCGAACAGGGCCAGCAGCAGGGATCTCGCCCTGGCTCGATTCCCAGAGGCCCCCATCCCCAGAGGCCACCCACCCATCCGCGGCCCCCCTAGAGCCGCGCACCGAGGGTCACTCCAGCCTAGGGTCCCCTCTGCTTGCGCACAGTCGACCCCAGGATGGCCCGAGGCGGCCTCCAATGCGGGCCCAAGAAAGCTACCAAGGTGGCCCGAGGCCGCCCCGACAGGGCCTGGCGGGGCTCCACCGAGCCAGCCCAGACCCCGTAACGCCGCACCCGAAGGCCCTAAATGACGTCAGCAGGGCCCAAGTTCCCCCCCCCCCCTGCCCCCACCACGGCCTCCAAAACGTCACCCAGGCCATCCTCCCCCCTCGTTGTCGCCACTTCCTCTCGGCTGCTCTTGCATTTGTCCAAGGAGCCCCATCTGCCCCGCGAGGGCCCCAGGTGGCTCCACAAGGGCCTCGGTGGATTCCATCCGCGGGCGCACCAGACAATATCGGGTGCAGGGCGTGTCCGAGGAGACGAGCAGTGCTTCCGGCCTCGAGGGGGGCAAGAACTCTCAGAGCCCCGAGGGCCCCGAAGAGATCCCGACGAGACCGGTGGGTGCGCACTGAGAGGACCCAAGGGCTGCGTGCCCCAGGGGAGCTCGACAGGCCTCGACGACGGGCCCCAGACGCCTGCGGGGCCTGCATAAGAGTGACCACAGAGATCTGCCAGGGACCAAGGGTCCCAGAGCCCCCACAATTTCCAACCAGAAGCCCCATGTGACGCCCAGGTGGCGTCCAGGGCCCACGATGGCCCCAAGTGAGCAGCAGAGGGCTCCACACGGGCTCCAAGCAGGACCCACGCTGGGAGCGCCCCTGGATCCCGATGGTTGCCCAGTCCCCGCAGTCTCTGCATAGTCCCCAAGCCTGTGAGGCCAAAACGATCAGTGTAGAGTTGCCGAGTCTGTTGGACCACTTGCTGCCATTGAATAGGGTATGAAAGTACGCTCGGCTGCTAGCCCGTCTGTTTTTTAACTCACGTCAGCTGTAACGCTGGGATCAGCGCGTGCGAGAAAGGCGAGCAGTGGCAGTGGTCTTTAGCGCTGCTCGGCGAGATGTCGGAGGCGAAGCTGGAGCCTGGAGTCATAGCCTTCAGTGCAGGGATCAGCGCTTGTGAGAAGGGCGAGCAATGGCAGCGAGCTTTGGCGCTTTTCAGCGAGATGCGGGAGGCGAATGTTGAGCCCAGCGTCATCTACACTTCGGTGGGTGATTCGTTAATGACTGTGCCCAGGAGACTTCAGACCCTGGATTATTCCTTATCTGATGAGGGCGGCGGGGGTATCGGCCAAGCCCCCGTTGGTGTTCCACCAGCTTCCAGACTCTGGATTACCTATCCAATGGCTCCGTGTCAAATGCCCTCATCGTGCAGTGCCAGGAGCAGTGCCGGGCTCTAGTGGCTGGCCTCCCGAGGCTTGGGCGCACCCCGACGACCCTTGACAGCCTCGAGAACAGCCACCGACGGCGCTGGACGGCCTAGACAATAGCCCTCAGAAGTCCAGAGATCCCGACATGGCCCCCAGGACGAGCTGAAGAAGAGGCACGACGCCCCAAGACGCCGCCAATGGCCCCCAAAGGCCTCTAGGATGCTTCCGTGCAGGGCTCCCAAGAGGCGCACATCTACGAAAACCTAGCGATTTTCGCACGTGTCCAGCATTCTCCTTCGATTACAGATGGCTTGCATATGTGCCCCAGAGGCTTGGAAAAGGGCTTGAGAGGCCTGCATAATCCCTAAGATGGGCCTGGTCAGCCCACGATGTTCCGCAGTCGGCAATAAGATGGCTAAAGACAGCCCCAGAAGGGTTACAAGGCACCTCCCAACCGCCCCCAAAATCTCCAAGAACAGCACCAAGAGGCTCGAAGGGACGCCAAGATGGCCCCTGGAGGCCCGAGATGGCCCCAAAGGAGCCCAATGAAGCCCACAACGAGGACACTCTTGGGCCCGGGAGAGCTACATGAGCGAGCGACCGAGGCCATTGGGAAATTCGTCTTGTGGCCGCTGCAGAAGCATCCTTCCCTGCTCCTCGCCCGTCGTTCATCGGTCCTTTTTTTGGGCTCGTCCTCGATACCAGCAGCATTTTTTGATACGGACAAACATTGTACCACGTGGATAGTGCCACATGGGCGCTCTCTCTCTCTCTCTCGCTCTCTCTCTCTCTCTCTCTCTCTCTCTCTCTCTGCGTGTGTGTATATATATATATATATGTGTGTGTGTGTGAGTCCGGTTATTAGCGGGTCTGGCTGGCTGAGTACAAGCGGGTCTGGGGAGTATGAGAGGGCTCCCCTTTGGGAGGCTCAAGCATCATGCTTGCTACGTCGCGGTTGTCATGCGAGTGTCGCTTCTACTCTCCCATACGGGGTTTCGCTTGAGACGTCCCCGCAATCTGGGCCCGAACGGGCCAGTGCCGAGCCCCCTGGCGGCTACCCTATCTCAGCGCGAACGGAACCGTGATGTACCCCCTGGCGGCAGCCCCTTTGGGTGCCCGTGCATTGACTGCTAAATCGCATTGACCATGGGGCTCTGAACTTCATCCGTCGATCCCAAATGTTAGCCAGTGTGGACCCCAAGGAGAGCGTTTCTAGCATTTTACGTTGCGCAACCTGTGTGGAGCAAGCTGCGTGGTACAATCTAGGTGGTGCAAGATGTGTTGTGCAATCTATGTTGTGCACCTCGGTGCAATAAATGTGGAGCAACTTGTGTGGTGCAACATGTGTGGTGCCACGTTGGTTGTGTAATCGTTGTGGAGCAATAGATGCGATGCAATCCATATGACGCAATCTATGTGATTCAGTCATACGATTGCAGCACATGGTTTGCAACCCATAGTATACGATAAAGATGGTGTAGTATCCATACACATATATATATATATGTGTGAATCGGTATGTGTGGGTGCATGTATATATGTACATAGATGTGCATATTTATACATCTACTTTTGCAGGCACACAAACTTAGATGTACATGTGCGCGTGGTACATTCTACTATTTGTATCGATATGGTGCAATGTGCGTACATATATATATGTATATGTATATATACACATAAACATCTACAAAGACACATACATATACATATACATATACATATACATATATATATACACATATACACACATATACATACATTTATTTATACAAACATAAACACATATAGATACATTCACATGGAACAGTCTAGGTTGTGAAACCCACGTGGCGCAATCTATGGTTTGCTGTATTTGCACGTGTCAGTGCGTGTACGGCCCCTCCCGAGGTTCTCACAGCGGGGCCGGGGCCTGAAGCGGCCCTGGCGTGCGACACAGGCCCAAGGAGGCCCTTTGTACGTGGCCCGTGTGGGCCTGGACTGTGTGGAGCGGGCGTTCCCGCCATAGCCCATCTGGGGCTCGAGAGAAGCATCGGGTCCGATCATCATGTCTGCATGGTGACAGGTGTAGGATATTGACCATTCCCAAGAGGCTAGTGGCGCCAGCGCGCCATGGCGGCCGAGGCGGCTGCAGCTGGGGTGCAGCGGCTGGACTCCAGAGGCGCCGGGAAGGCGCCGACGTTCACAGACAACAAGAAGGACTTCGAGGTTTGGACCTTCCCGTTCGAGAGCTATTGCGGGCTGCTGGGTTGGGCAGCGGGCGTGGAGTTGGCCAGAGATGCAGCGGAGCCTCTCGCCGTGAAGCAGATCGGCGAGCAGGGGGTGCAGGTCGGCAAGAGCTTGTTTCACCTGCTGGCGAGCACGACGAAGGGTACGGCGCATCGTCAATTTGTGGCCAAGGGGAGATGGCTTCGAGGCTTTGCGGAGGCTGTGCAGGGAGCACCGCCCAAGACTGAATTGGGAGCACTGCCAGATGGCCCAGCAGATCCCGACGCCGCTCTGGTGGAAGGACCGCGAAGGCAAAGAGCGCTTCACGGAGGTGCTGTTAGCCTGGGGCGAGCTGATCTCCCGCTACGAGCGGGCGACAGGCGAAGAGGCCACGCAGAAAATGAAGACGAGCGCGATCATGGCGCACGCGCCCGAGGACGTGAAGACCATGTTGCGGTCTGCGCAGAGGGGCGCGCGGAGCGACATCGCGCAGATGCGGGCCCGTATCTTCGAGGCAGTGATCGGCCAGAGTGGAGTTATCGCGAAGCCGCCAACAGCAGGGAGAGGCAGCAACGACATGGACGCCAACGCGATCTCCAAGGGCAAGGGCAAGCAGGGTGGCAAGGACAAGTGCCAGCTCTGCAGCGAGCCGAACCACGCAGCGCGCGACTGCTACTGGCGCGACAAGGGCAAGCCGAAGGGTGGCGGCAAAGGAAAATGCAGAAGCTCCAGCAAAGACGGCAAAGGCAAGAACAGCTCCACGTCCACAAGCAAGTGCGATTATTGCCACAAGACGGGCCACAAACAGGCAGACTGCAGGGAGCGGATCGCCGACGAAAAGGCCATGGGAAATGCTGCGATCGAGCAGGAGAACGCGGAGCCGAAGACGGTTGCCAGCATCGAGCGCGCGGGGCTCGAGTGCGAGATCTGCGACGACGAGCAGCTCTACTGCGCGACGATGAAGGCCGAGGACGGCGACGCGGAGTGCTGCGGCATGGATCTAGACGGGGCCACTTTCATCACGCTGGACACGGCGAGCGACTGCCGCGTCGGCCCGACCACGTTCGGCGAGGGCTGCAGGAAGGCGGCGGGCGATTGGCCGTGGCTGCTGGGCGCGCAGAGGCAGGAGATCAAGATGGGCTCCATCGCGACGGCGCCGATGGCCGTCGACGACTACAGCGAGCAGACGAAGTTGCTGAAGGCAAACTTCAGGCTGGGCGACGCAGTATCAAAGCCGATCCTCTCGCTGCTCGAGGCGATGGACAAGGGTGCGGATTTCTGGCTGAGAGCGAAGACGGGCGCGCGCACGTGCCCAGGAGGCGACCTCACCGAGGGCATCCCGCCCACCAGGAAGAACATCACCCTGGGCGAAGACTTCCAAGACGACGATGGAGGCGAAGGAGTTTGCAGCCAACGCGAACGCGAACGAGCAGCAGGAGGAGTTCGCGCCATCGCCCGGGGCTTCTGGCAGCGGAGGCGCGGCGGCGGCAGCGCCGGTGCCACCGGCAGCCGCGGCGGCTCGACTCGGACCTGAGCAACCTGCATCAGGAAAAGGAAGGGAACATCTAGCTCGGCAACCAGTACTACTGCATGAGGGGCAAGAGATCGTCCTGCACCCAGACAGCCGCGCGGATGACATGCGGGACAGGCTCGGGGGGCTGGGGCAGCCGATCTACGGCAGGAAGGACGAGCTGTGGGCGAGGCTCAGCGAAGCGGAGCGGAGGATCACAGCGCACCGCGCCAGGATGAAGAAGCTGGAGCGCAGGCGCGAGGAGTCCGTTCAGGGAGGGCCCTCGATCGCACCACGTGATGTAGCCGGACCAGCAGCGCCGACGGAGGCGGTGCGAGCAGCACGCGAACTTCTACATCTCACGAGAGCTCCATGGTGCGAGGCCTGCGCGAGAGGAAATGAGACGACCAGGCCGCGCAAGACGCTCACCTTCGACCCGAAGGACACGGGGAAAGCGCAGATCACCCTGGATTGCTGCAACATGAAGACCAACGGCGACTGGGCAGAGATCGGGGGCGAGGAGCCGCCGGCGGCGGACATCTTCGCGACGACGCTCGTGATGGCGGACAGGGACACGCTGATGTTCAACGCGGTCTCGACGCCGACCAAGGCGGTCACTGACTGCGCGATGGCCAGCGCGATTAGCTTCATCGATGGCATGCATCTCGCGACAGTGAACATCAAGACGGACGGCGAGCCGACGATCCTGAACTTGGTGGATGAGGCGCGCAGGAAGCAGAGCAGGGGCACCAAGCTGGAGGAGAAGCGTGGGAACCTGAAGGACAGTCAGAGCACGGGCGCGACCGAGGCTCCGATCAGATGGTTTCAGGCGAAGGTGAGGACGCACAAGTTCGACTTGGAGAAGCGCTACGGCATGCTGGTCACAGCGGACGCACCGATCTGGTGCTGGCTTACGAGATGCGTTAGTTGGGCAACCTCTACGTACAGACCGCGGGCCGATGGGGGGCATCTCATCAGGCAGCCTTCGGAGTGACTTACAACGGCGAGATTCTCCCCTTCGCAGAGACGGCGCTCTTCAAGGTGCCGACCTCCCACGCGGGGCAGACCACGGCGACGTCGCTCGAGCGCCAGGGCGAGTCGAGCTTCGCGATGGGCACCTGGATCGGGAAGCACAAGGAGAGCGACGACTTCATGTTCCTGACGCCTGCGGGGTGGCATCGTGCCAGGACCTGCAGGAGGCCGGGGCCAGCGCTGCGAGCTGACGCGAAGCTGACGAAGGCGGTGAAAGCCCTACCCTAGGAGGCACGGAGCGCCAGGCCGTGCGAGCTGCTGCCCAAGATGCAGCGACCTCCACTCACGATCGGCACTGACGGCGGCGGAACAGAAGGCGAAGGCAGAGGTGGAGGCAGCGGCAGCTCCTGCGGCAGCACAGCAGGGGGCGCCCGACCAGGGGGCGCAAGCAGCAGCAGTAGGCGCAGCAGAACCACCAGCGGCACCGGCAGGACCTGGAATGGGAGCAGCGGCAGCAGCCAGACCTCAGGAGGAGAACGCGATGGAGGAGGACGCGCTGATGACACAGGGGCCAGGTCAGGCCCGCGGACGGTGAGGAATTCGGCTCACCTGGGAGGCGAGCGAGGCAGGTGGACGCGATCTCGCTGGACGAACCCATCGACTACAGCATCCTGGGCAGCGTGGGCGCGGCATCCTACGTGACGACCAGCGGTCTGGGGCCCGCGGTGGAGCTCGAAGGGGCGCGGAAAGCGCCGGAGGTGCTGGCGCGCTACGGCGCCCACAGAGACGCCCCGAGGAGCGAGAGCGGGGAGTTCAAGATGATCAAGGCGCGCTGGGAGCCGCAGATGCGCGGAGGCGTCTGCAAGTGGAGGCACGTGGCCCAGGAGTTCAAGTGGATGGAGCAGCGGGACGACGCGTTCACTGCGAGCTCCTCAGCACAGACGAGCAGACTGGTGGACTTCGTCAGCATCGAGGAGGATAACCACGGGACCATCATCGCGGAGTGCGCGAAGGCATACTACCAGGCGGACTCGACGGAGAAGGTTTGTTTGGAACCACCGCCAGAGCACCTGGCGATTTTGGCTGAGATGGGCAGATCGACTGACATCGTCTGGGCTTTGGGCAAGATGCTACCTGGACGGCGTTTGGCAGGCGCTGGGTGGGCACATAAGGCGGCGAAGACTCTCAAGGGCGAAGGCCTCGATAGGTGCGAGCGCCAGCCGCAGTTCTACCACCGCGAGGAGAAGGATATCCTGATTGATGTGCACATGGGCGACTTCCATGGCGAAGGACCGATAAGGTGCCTGGACGGGGCCATTAAGAGGCTGAGGGGGGGGGCGTTCGATTTGAAGGCGACGGACGTCATCAGGCAAGGGCGGTACTCTCACCTGAAGCGGGACAGGTTGAGGCACATGAGCGGCGACGTGATGCTGAGGCCGAACGTCAAGCACATCGAGGACCTGATCTTTGTGATCAAGTAGCGTCGCCTCTCGAGAGTGCCTAAAATTGCCTCTTGGGCCCATCTTGGAGCTCTCTCGGGGCGCTCTCGGGACTCTCTGGGGCCTGTCTTGGGGCCCCCTTGAGCCATCTTGGAGGCTTCTTGAGGCCCCGGAAGGCCATCGAAAGCAAGAGGGCGAGAAAGGTAGATTCATTTACTACGTTTTTGAAGGACTTGGGCATCTCAAGCAACCTGGGGAGGCTCCCTGGCGATCTTGAGCAGTCGAGCGGTCTTGGGGCCTCTTGGAGCATCATGGGAGCCATCTGGAGCTAGCTTGGGCTATCTTGAACCATCTCGAAGGTCACCTTAGGCTCTCTGAGGCCCCTCGGGGGCCGCTCGGGGGCCTCTTAGGGGCTTCTCGGGTGCCTTTGAAGGCCTCTTGGGGCTTCTTGGGGCGCCCTTTAGGCCCTCTTGGGAGCCTCCTGGGAGCCCTGGAAGGCCTCCTGGGGCCATCTTGGAGGCGGTCGGTCAAAAGAGTGGGGGTACTAGATTTGCGTCCCCCCCTTCGGGGGGCACGATCCTCGTGAGGAGTGGCAGAAAATGGCTCTCCCAATAGCAGAAGCAGGAGCCTCCGACACGTCGCGACCCCCTCCCCGAAAACCTCAGGGAGGGGAGGGGGAGGGCTCCCGTCCCCGAAGCGAAGAGGGGTTGTGGAAGAGGAAAGAGACCCTCGTTAGACCACCTGCCGCCCGAAGGGCTGGTGAAATTTCGTATCGCGTCGTCGGGCCACCCTATTTCTGAGGCAGAGGATGGTTCTGCCCACCGTGCATTTGACCCCCAGATTCGCACGAGTCAGCTATAACGCTTCGCACGAGTCAGCTATAACGCTGGGATCAGCGCGTGCGGGAAGGGCGAGCAGTGGCAGCAGGCATTGGCTTTGCTCAGCGAGGTGAGGGAGACGAAGCTGGAGCCCAACGTCATATCTGTATTACAATTCCGGGCGAAGCGCGCGCGACTAATTGAAGCAGTGGCAGCACCCAGGGCCGCCCAGAGAGCCCGCGGGCCGCCCGGAGAGCTTCCGGGTCGCTCCTCGACGGCCCCAGGAGGCCCCTGGAGCGCACGCCGACGGCTCCAGGACCCCCAGATCGCCCCAAGACGGCCTCACAGACGTCCAAGAGGGTCGAAGCCAACCCGACCGGAGCCCCACGACGGCCCAAAAAGGCTTCAGAGACGGCCCCCGAGGACCGCATGGACGGCGCCAAGGGGCAACACTTGTGCGTTTTCCGAAGGTTTCGAGGGTTTTTTTGTTCCCGCCATTTCGGGCTCACAACGGCCCAGGATGGCCCTGGGGGGGTCCCAGATCGCCCCCGGTCCTAGAGGGCCCCAGGAGGACCCCCAGAAGGCCCGAGAAGGCCCGTAGACGGCCCGAGATGCCCCGTAGACGGCCCAAGAGGGCCCCGAGACGGCCAACGAGAGCTTCAAGTGACTGCGAAGTCAGCCCCGACCGGGCCACTGATCCCGCCCGAGCGGGGCCAAAGCGACCTCCGAAACGGCCCGAGACCCCCAAGATGGCCCCAAGACCCCCAAGAAGGGCCCAAGATACCGCCCAAGAGGTCCCAAAGTGACCTCCGAAACGGCCCGAGACCCCCAAGATGGCCCCAAGACGCCCCAAGAAGCCCCAGACACGGTCCCAGAGGGCCCCAGCCACGGCCTCCGAGCCCAAGGACTTCTAGCCGATTCTGATTCCACCTTCCCATCGACCTCTTCTTCCGTTTGGAAACTTCGACACGCCTTAGAAAGCATCGGGCTTTCGCTAATCGCGCCCAGCCTTGACGCGCTTAGTGAAAACCTGACGGTTTTTGCCATTGAATCACGCCGACTGCGATCCCGACCCAGGACTGGAGGTCCCGGACACGGTCCGAAGGGCTTTCCTCCACTGCGCCCTGCCCTTCCGCAGGCCTCGGCGACACGTGCGCGTTCGGGACCAACGCCTGGACCTGCGGGCCGTGGATTTTCGACGGGTTCGCACTCGTCTCTCCTACATGGCCAGTGTATCTGCGTGCGAGAATGGTTCACAGGGCCTCGTGTGCACAAGATCGCCTCGTGTGCCACCACGGGGCCGAATCGCTCAGGCCGGTCCCAGAGGCGCTCCAGAGGGGTTGCCAGACCGTCCAAGAGCGCTCCAAGACGGCCTCAGTGGGTCCCGAGACGGCCCAAGAGAGCCCGAAGCCTTCCGGAGGGGGGGGCTCCACGACGATCCAAGAGGCCGCAAAGACGCCCCAAGAGGGCCTCGAGCTCACGCCAAAGAGACACAAATCGTCAAATTCTCATGGGAAAACGTATATTTTCAGCATGCTCGCCTTGTGTGCTCCTCAGCGGCCCAGGAGAAGCCAAGAGGCCTCCCAAATCGCCCCAAGAAGACGCCAGCGGCCCCTAAGAGGGCTCCAAGACGGCCCACAAGAGCCCCAAGACGACGCCAGAGAGCTTTGAAACGGCCTCACAGAACCCCAAGACAGCCCCAAGAGAGCTCCGAGGGGGCCCCAAGAGGCTCCCAAGACGGCCTCAGGCAGCCTCAAGAGAGCTCCGAGACGGTCCAAGGCCTCCCGGACACCCCGTGACGGCCCAAAAAGGCTCCACAACGTTCCAAAACGCTCCCAGAGCAGCCCAAACAAAAATTCAGAATGGCCCTAAAAAGACCCCCACAAGGACCACCAAACAGGCCGAGAGGCGCCCACTAAAAGAGCGATCGGTGAAGTACAAAGCTCATCTCACCAAGGCTCCCAAAAGCGAGACGCAGCGTAGAGAGCTCTCCCAGGCACAGCTCCCAAGAGCGAGCGGTGACGTCGGGACACCCTTCCGACATCTCACACAGGAGCACGCACGCACAGCACGCAAGCACAATAGATTTCCTGGGCTGTCCCCCGGAAGAGGATCGGGGGGACAGCCCGGGAACGGCCGCAGAGGCGCCCCAAACAATTTCGAGAGAAAAGGCCCCCAGGAGGCCGAAAGACGGCCCAAGAGGGCCCCAAGAGGCCCCTAGGAGGCCGCAAGACAGCCAACGAGGCCCCAACAGGCCCTCAGGAGCTCGAAAAGAAACCCCGAGAGGCCCAGTCACCGTTCCCAAGGAGACGGCAGCGCCCGCCATCATGCTTCGAAGAGGCAATCGGAAAAAGTCACCAGAGCCCTCCGTGTGACTTTTTTCAAGGCCCCAGGTGCTTTCAAAATTGACAAGCGGCGAGACGTACACAGATCCATCATAGCCGTCTGTGACGCTCCGAAGGCTGTCTAGGCGGAGGTAGAGCGGAAGGTGGACGAAGAGAAGGAAGCGGTCCAAGAGGGCCTCCGAGACGGCCCAAGACCGCTCGAAGACTCTCCAGACGAGCCGCGGCAAACGAAATCATTGATTCTTCTATGGTTTCTGAAAGATTTCCACCTTCTCGCCATTTCGAGCGAAGACAGGCCCAAGACGGCCTTTTCGAGCCAAGACTGGCCCAAGATGACGTGGACGAAGTCCACGGGTTCGCCCTAGTCAGCTACAGCGCTGGTATCAGCGCGTGCGAGAAGGGCGAGCAGTGGCAGCGGGCTTTGGCGCTGCTTTGCGAGATGCGGGAGGCTAAGCTGGAGTCCAACATTATCTTTCCTGGTCGCAGTGCTTTGAGCAGCGCGCACGAGAGGCCTACCGAGTGACTGCAGTCGGCTCCGACGGGGCCGGGGCCAGCGGCCCCCGACCACTTGGTGCGACTTCCACACGGTTCCAGGCCAGCCAGATGAGCGTCCAGCAGGCGCCGAGCGCCCCTCAGACGTGCTCAGAGGCACCTGGCCAGCCCAAGACCGTGCCAGGCTGGCGCGCAGAGGCATCGATACGGCTGCGGTGAGGGACCTCGACAAATCCCTCATCGGAGTTTTGTCAATCTTGCGTGCGTAGCATTCTCCGCCTAGGGTCACGGCTTCGAAGGGCCTGGAGGAGTGACCAGCAGAGTCTTCCAACGAAGTCGAAGAGGCCCACGCTCCGAGGAGAGGGCGCCGCTCTCGTGCTCCAGAGATGCCAAACCGGCCCTGGAGATCGTCAACATCCGCAGGACTTCCCGACGAAGTTCAACTCTCCGCAAGGGTCGCTGCACGCTCGCCAACAAGAGTTCCCGCATAGTCTCACCAATAAGCGTCTCGCTGTATCTCGCGAATCAGAGCTGCCGCAAATCGAGTCTCTTGTCGGATGGGGCTAGGACGAGGATAAATCCTCTCCAGAGCGTTCCGGAACGCTCTCAGAGCGATCCGGATTTCTCTGAGGGGGCCGTGGCGCCCGAGACATCCCCCGAGGCCGCCGCATCTCAGAGATTCTCGTTTTATCTTCATCCGAATTTGCCTTCGTCCTCGCTTCGTCTTAGCTTGCTTCGCACATTGTCCTTCTCAGCGGTTTCACCGGAAGGGCCAGCACGCCTGTCGCCTGTCTTCGAGCCGCCATCCTGGGCGTGAACAGCTGCTTGCTTGCGTGCTTTCTTGCTTGCTAGGCTGGTCAGCTCAGGATGGCTCCGAGAAGGGCCCCAGGCATTTCGGTGGGAATCCAAGAGGCCCACAAGAGCCCCCAAGAGGGCCGACGGCGCTCCAATGATGGCCCCAGATCGCTCTGGCCCGCCCAGACGCGGTGGCGATGGCGACGACGATCGGCTCTGAGACTGCCCGAAGATGGCCCCAGATCGCTCTGGTCCGCCCAGATGCGATCATCGATGACGATGACGATTATCGCTCTGATCGATGACGACTGCCCGAAGACGGCCCAAGACCCTTCGTGACGGCCCCCAGGGCCCGAAGAGGCTCACGAGGCCCACGGGGCTCCCAGATGGCCCCCGAGACCCGCCCCCAGGAGATGCACACGAGAGAGCCAATGAGCGCCCCGAGAGACGCAGCCCCGAGAGGCCAAGACAGGGTGAGTCAGCGACGGCGGCCAGGAATCAGCAGAGGCAGCAGCAGCAGGGCTGGGAGGGGTAGATGCCCAGAGAGGCAAGTCCCAGCAATCAGCGGGGCAGGAGGACTGGACAGGCCAGCGGACGCAGCAAGCAAGCAGCAGACCCAGCAGCGTCAGCAGCGAGAGGAGATTCGCACCACACAGCAGCAAGAGCAGCGTTCAGCAGCAGCAGCACCAGTCAGCATCATCGTGAGTCCGCATCAGCCAGCAGAAGCAAGCGGCATTGGAAATCAACAGCAGCAGCCATTAACGCTAAGCAGCAAGTCGGGGCCAGAAGCCTGACGCAGCATCATGCGAAGCAACCAGCTTTTGCTGACAGGAGCAGGAAACGACAGACGTAGGGGGAGTCCTCTAAAACCCTTGTGGGTCTCTTTCAAAGTGGTCCCTCCGGCAACCAATCAGCCCATCAGCCAATTGCGATGGATTCTAAACTTCGCGTGCCAAGGATCAGCCGAGTCGCCATTCTGATCGACTGGAACGGGCTTCGTGCCCTGTGCGAAGCCATGCTGGACGAGCAGGTTGCTCGTGCATTTACGCATACTTGCGTCCTATTCAGCTACAGCGCTGGGATCAGCGCGTGCGTCAAGGGCGAGCAGTGGCAGCGGGCGTTGGCACTCCTAAGCGAGATGTGTGAGGCGAAGTTGGAACCTGACGTCTTTAGCTACAACGCTGGAATCAGCGCGTGCGAGAAGGGCGAGCAGTGGCAGAGGGCGTTGGGGCTGCTCAGCGAAATGTGGGAGTCGAAGCTGGAGCCCGACGTCACCAGCTACAGCGCTGGTATCAGCGCATGCGGGAAGGGCGAACAGTGGCAGCGAGCGGTGGCGCTGCTCGTCGAGATACGACAGGCGATGCTGGATCCCAACGTCATCAGTTACAGCGCTGCGATCAGCGCTTGCGTGTTGGGCGAGCAGTGGCAGCGGGCTTTGGCGCTGCTCGGCGCGATGAGGCTGGCGAAGCTGGAGCCCGGCGTCATCAGCTACAACGATGCGGTATGCGTTTGCGAGAAGGGCGATCAGTGGCAGTTGGTTTTGATGCTGCTCAGCGAGATCTAGGAAGCGAGTCTGAATCTCGGCGTGATCAGCTGAGGCGCCAGGACCAGCGCGAGCGAGAAGGGCGAACGGAGGCAGGGAGCTACTGCGCTCCTCAGCGAGGCGCGGGAGCTGAACCTGGAGCCCAGGACCACCTCCCGTGGCAGTGCCGTCGCCTGCGCGTGCGAGAGGGCCGTGCAGAGGTCGGAAGCGCTGTCGTTGCTCGGGGACATCGGGGAGTGCTCAGCGAAGGACGACGGCCACAGTGGCGGCAGCAGAGCGTGCGAGCAAGTCGGGCAGTGGCCGGATGCGCAGTCGCTGCACGGAGGCCGCAATTTGCGCCGCTGGTGTCCTGCGGCGTGCGAGGAGGGCGGGCAGCGACAGGGGCATCGTCGTTGCTCGGAGAGGTGGGGCACGCGAGGTAAGAGCCGGGCGTCGCCATCTGCAGTGCTGGCGTCGGTCTCCTGCGGGAGAATGTGGTCCCAGCGCAGCAGCTTCGTGCCACTTCTCGGAGCTGGCATTGCGTCCGAGATCATGCGCAGGCCAAGCTCATCCGCATCGTTTGCACGCACAGCTCGCTAACGTTACGTCCGACCCCACGGCTTCTCCCCCCTTCAGGTTGGGACAGCAGCGGGTTGCCAGCACTTCCTGCAGCGCTTGAGCTGTGGGCCCGCCCACGCGAGGGTTGGTGGGTCGAGGGTGCTGAGTCAGCGACAGACCGCAGTTTGTCGCCCCCCTGTGAGTAGGACTGACATTTGCTCCCTCGCCTCCTGTGGGCAGCCCGCGAGGGCCGAGAGACCTGAGACGACACGCTCCCGAGAGAACAGAAAGCCTCTCGCCTGCGCGATATCACAGCCCGTCGGTTGATGCCCCTCCTCCTCCTCCTCCTCCTCCTCCTCCTCCTCCTCCTCCTCCTCCTCCTCCTCCTCCTCCTCCTCTTTGGTCTGAGCTAGGGCATCCCCTTTCCAGGCTCGTCCTCACCCCGTCCCTGACAGTCAAGACGCCGAAATGAGGGCCGCGTTGGGCTCAGGAGAGGTTCTGGTTGTCGGGCCGCTCCTCAGAGTCAGGGCGGGGAGCCCAGTTGTGGCCGAGGCTCGCCGTGACCTTTTTCTGGTTGCACGATGACTGCACGCCGCACTCGCCTCGCTCTCGCGAGCCCGTCTGCCCTCCCTCCCCCTGTCTGGGTCGACTCCTGGAGGCTCCGAGGCCTGGGGCGTCAGTGGCCTGCAGGCAGCCTCGAGCAGCAGCGGCGGGCCCGTCTGCCCTCCCTCCCTCTGTCTGGGTCGACTCGTGGGTGCTCCGAGGCCTGGGGCGTCAGTGGCCTGCAGGCAGCCTCGAGCGGCAGCGGCGGCAGGGGCGCGAGGGGCCGCGGCCGCCGCAGCAGCGGGCAGCGTGCGCGGCAGCCGGCAGGGCAGCAGAGGCGGAGGGGGTGGCGCCAGCAGCGCCAGCAGAGGCCGAGGCGGGGCAGCGCGGGCCCCCGCCCGCGTCTTCGAGACGTGCACTCGTCCAATATGTCCGCCGCCGCCGCTCGCCGTGCTTTTTCCCGAGGAGGCCAGGCGCCGTCGCTCGCTCCGTCGCTGGCTCCATTCCCGTGTGCCCCTCCCACGGCGAGGAGGGCGGCCGGGTCGGGGAGCCTCGCCCGCACCCCCTCGCTCGAGCCCGCTCCATCCACGCCTCCCTCGCGCCAGTCCTCGCCGGCTCGCTCCCTCCCAGCCCGCCCCACGGCCCCACGTTGGCCCGAGGAGAGCGGCCGGGCTGGAGAGCCCCTACGCACCGATCTTCACCGCGGACTCGCGGGGGAGGCGGGGCGAGAGGTCGGGCTTCGTCGGCGCTCGCTCGGCCCTGGCACCCATCCTGCTGCTGATCGTCTTCTTCTGCCTCGTCATCATCCTCTTCATGCTCATCCTTGAAGAGTTCGCGATGTTGCCTCGTGGGGGGACACTTCATCCCTTCCTCACTTACTTCGCGAGGATGTGCCTTACACCCTTGTCTTCGGCCTCGTCATCTGTTGCCCTCGCCTCCTTCTTCTAGTAATCCTCCTCCTCCTCCTCCTCCTCCTCCTCCTCCTCCTCCTCCTCCTCCTGCTCCTGCTCCTGCCCCTCCTCCTCCTCCTTCTCCTCCTGCTCCTGCCCCTCCTGCTCTTCCCCCGTTGACATTTTGGCACAAGCGGTTGCGTTCCCCTCGCGCGCCATCGTGTCCATGCCCAGAGGGGCACCGCACGGAGTTGCCGCCGCTGCCCAGTTGGCGACTGCCGTGCGCCGCGCAGGTCCATGCACGTCGCCGCACCTGCGCCCTCCCGCGACAGCGGAGCCGCCGGCGGCACGTGGCAGGCGAGGGCGGGCAGGTCAAGGGCACGGGCACGGACTAGCACGAGGATGCCAGCACCGAGGAACCTCTGCAACCGAGGGCGCCCAGGGGCGCCGTCGCCGCCAGGCGCTCGGTGGTGGCGAAGAGCGCCTGGCGGCCCCTGCCGGAGGGGCCGAGATGAGCTCGGATCTCGACTCGCCGGCCGCCGCTTGCCCGGTGCTCCTCTCCGACTGCCGGGCCCCACGGCGCTGGCGCTCCTCCCCGCCACGAGCGCCGAGGTGGGGCCGTCCGTCGGCTTGTGGCACGCTGTCTGCTTCGTTTGGGGCCCCTCCGGAGGCCCTGCCCGGCTCTCGGCGACGCGCGTGGGCGGACGGCGCCGGCCGCGCGCTGGCGCTGCCGCCCGTGCGCTGCCGAGCGGCGTCTCGTGGAGCAGGGGCCGAGGCGAGCCCGGAGCTCGGCGACGAACGGGCGGAGACGCAGCGGCCGCGCGCCGGCGCTGCCGCGCCGTGCCGTGCGCTGCCGAGCGGCTCCGGCGCCCGTGCGCCGCGCCGCGCGCGGGCTGCGGGGCTGCCGCGGGCGGCGCGGCCGCCGCGGCTGCCCGTGGCTGCCTATAGGGCGCGGGGTGGGCCCGCTGGCGGCCGCGGCGACGGCGGGCCGCCGCGGCGACGGGGGGCTCTGCGGGGGTCCGTGGGGCGACGGCGGGCTCCTCGGGGCCTCTGCGGGGAACCGAGGGGGCCCTGAGGGAGGGGACCCTTGAGGACAGGGAGGGTGAGGCACCGCGGGGAACCGAGGGGGCCCTGAGGGAGGGGACCCTTGTCGACAGGGAGGGTGAGGCACCTCGTCCTCGGGGCCCCGGCTCTCGTCCTCGGGGCCCCTCGCCCTCCGGGCCGGGCCCCTCGCCCTTTGCTTCAGGCTCCTTGTCGTCAGGGACCCGTCCCTCGTCTCGCCCTTTGCCTAGGGGCCCCTCGTCCTCAGATGCCACAGCTCCCAGATCGGCGAGCCGGGAACAGGAAGGCGAACTTGCTGGTGATGGACATCTGATTTCGGCGCTGCGGCGCCCCCGACGTGCTGCTAGAGGGGCCGTCCTCCAGGACGCTCCGGCCTTCGTCTCGTCTCGTCTCGTCCTTACGTTGGCATCGCTCGGACGTGTTTTTTTCCGGGCGACAAGAACGTACGAAGCCGAAACATGCACGGGGGACGGACGTCCGAGTGAGGGCAAGTACGCGCCCCAGCCCTGCAGGGCCCCATCTTTGAGCCGTCGACCCGGCGTGGCGCGTGCGATCGGCGTCGCGCGCGATCGTGGCCGCGCGCGCGTCGCGGCGATCGGCGTGGGCGTCACGCGATCGGCGTCGCGCGCGGCGTGGCGTGGCGCGCGCGGGGCGGGGCCGCTCGGCGTCGCGCGCGGCGTGGCCGCCGCCTCTGCGCCGCGCGGGCGGGGCGGGCGCCGCGGGCTCCGCGCCGGGCGTCGCCCCGCGCCAGAGGCGCGGGAGGCGCCGGGCCGTGCGAGAGGTAGGCCCCGGCGGCGCGCGGTCCCTCGAGGCGTTTCGCGCTGCGCGCCGCCGTGGGTCAGGAGGCCGGGGGAAAACACTTTTTGGTCTGCGGGTCGAGAGCGAGCCTCTTCCGGTTAAGAGCTAGGCGGGCCGCGCAAAGCACTAATTGGGGAGACAGGGCGCGTAGGAGGGGGAACACATACACATAGACACAATGAATCGTCGATTCCCCTGAAGATATGGGAAAGTATGGGGAATCCCACTGTTTGTGTGTGTATTTATCTGTGCGTCCCTGGGCCCCTGCATTGGGGGCGGGCAGAGGCGCAGAGGCAGACCCAGGCAACAAGGGGCACAATCCCTGCACAAGCTGGATCACGCGAGTGCAGGAAGCTTTTGTTGTTTCCACCCTCTCCCGACCTCCCTCTCTCTCTCTCTCTTTCCCCCTGCTCTCCCCCTTCCCCCTGCTTGGCGCGCCAGACGCGGCCCTGGCAACTTGTTGACCGCGCTCTCTGCCCACGCGTCCTTCATGGATGCGCGGCCTTCGTGTCGTATCGTGCCGCCCCGCCGCCTTGCCAGGCCTTCTGGACGTCGCCCGAGTAGATGGGGTCGGAGGGTCGCGCTGCATCGCTGATGCATCGACGATGCGGCTCGATGTGGAGCCCGATTTTCCTCACGACGATGGCGCCGATGCAGCACCGACTTCGCCGAGGCCTCGGCGATGCATCGGCGATGCGGTGCGATCCTCCGACCCCATCTGCTCGGCCTCGACTTGGGAGGCCTCCAGCCTTGGCGGTGGAGGGTTTTTTTTTCCAACCATCCTGAGGTGTTGGGTCCTCGTTTTGAATAGTCGGCGCCCCGCGTGCCCCCGTCGGCCTCGGGGGCGCCCGCGTGCGCGTCGGCGTGGGCTGCCCCGCCGGCAGCGCCCGCCGCTGACGCGCCTGCGCTGGTCGCCTCGCCGCGGGCGCGCGCCGCTGGGCTGGCGCTGGCGCCGCTGGCCGCCCTGCCTGGGGCGCTCGCCGCACGCTTGCCATCGGCGCTGTTGTGGGGCCAGTCCGGCGCCTGCAGCCAGTGCTCCAGGCCAGTGCCGCCCCCCGCGTCGGCCCAGCGCTCCCGAGGGCGCTGCCGCGGCGGCGCCCGAAGCCCCGGCTGGCGCCGCAGGCGCCTCCATACCGACCGGCAGCGGCGCAGCACAGTCAAGGCCGTATTCGGCTTCGATGGCGTGCTCGCCGGCGTCCTGCGCGACGACCTCCGCAGGAGGAGGCTGGCGCTTTGGGCTGCGGCCAGGACGCCCGACAAGTTGAGACCTCTTGTTCACATTTTTGCTAGCCAGTTGGGCAAGAGAGAAAAAAAGCGTGAGTGTGAGTCGTGTAGACAATGGTTGGACGCGAGTCCGAGAATATGAAGCCGCTCGCCGCCTCAGGAAGGGCGCGCGCCTCGCTCCCGACCCGGCTGCCTTGTAGCGCTGAAGGCCCGGCGGGTGCGTGCCGCAGGACTTCGTGGCTCCCTCACGCCAGGCCCCGCGCGCCCTCGGGCGCGAGGGGCGGCCCGGGCAGCGCCCGCCCTCGGGGGTCCTTCCCCGTGCGGGGGTGCGGCCGCGGAGGGCGGGGGGGGCGTGCCCTGACGAGGGCGGAGGCGATGCGCTCCGCCTGCGTCGCGCGGGCCCTCGGCCGGGCTGCAGGGACAGGCTGAGCGCAGCACAGGGAAGGCCAGGATCCCGCACACTTCCCCTTCCTCCTCCTCCTCCTCCTCCTCCTCCTCCTCCTCCTCCTCCTCCTCCTCCTCCTCCGTAAGCAGCCACCCCAGCAACAGTTTAGGGTCTCGGTCCTTTCGCCCCTCCCCCCTCTCCTCCTTTTGAGTTCGTGTCGTCGTCTCCTCCCTCCCCTGGCTTGGGCGCCCTGCTAAGCCCGCGCGTCCCCTCCGCTAGGGCACGCGGAAGGGCCTGCAGCCGCTCCCCCCGGACTGACTCGCAGGGACTCGTGGTGTAAGGTAGCGAGCCTCTCTTACGGGGCCACCTCGGAGCTCGGTCCTTGAGC